GTGTGAGAGCCCTAGGCTTTCTAGTATGAACTAGCGCCCTGCATCAAGCATATATCGCTTACTAGATAGCTATCAATACAATCACTCAGACGTTCAACAGCTTTGTGAGAAGTTATATAGTGGAAGGATTAGTAAGCCAGATCATGTGACCTGACACCCCCACTCACCAGAGTAACTATACACGATGCTATATACAAAATTCGCCTTCAAATCAAGTACAGGTACAAAAAATGACTGGAAAATGTGAAGTAATGAAAAACCAGTCATGATTTACATCATTTTTTATCCCTCTATCTCTCTATCTTCTTTATATTCTCTTTCCAATGTGTATATTTCAATGTTTCAAGTGGTTTAGTAAGCCTATTCACTATGTTCTCAGCAGATGGAACATATCAGATAGATATCTCATTCTTGCAGACAAGATCTCAAAGAATGTGGAAACAGACCTCTATATGCTTCAAGTGGTGTGGAATTGCTTCAGAAGAGGATAGCTCTATGACGGACTTATTATCAGCATGAATCATATAAGCCAGACCATTGGCTGTGGTGGAAATGAAGTGATTATCGACATTCAGATTGTTGAGGCGGGATGAGATGAAGTCAGCATCTTCTAGAAGCTCTCAGAGACAGACAAGCTCATATGCAGTCTCAGAGGATGCAATATATTCAGCCTCTGTTGATGACTTGGAGACCCCTGTTTACTGGCAGCTCCGCCATGCAACAGGACCACCTGCCATGTAGATGATATAACCGGTGATTGAACAGGATCCTGGATCTCTACCGGCTCAATCGGCATCTGTGTATGCTACAGGTTCAATTTCGGCATCTCTGTGATAGGTTATACTCTCATTGATTGAACTCTGTAGATATCAGAGCATATGCTTGTATGCAGTCCAGTTCTTTGATGTAGGCTGGGAGCTGAATCATTCAAGGAATCCTGCGGCGAAGCTCATATCAGAATGTGTATTGAATGCCAGATATTGCAGAGATCTGATACCAGATTGATAGAACTGTAGGGTAAATTCTGCTGTGTATACAATCAGTTCCTTATTATCATTCATGAAATTGATGTTCTTCTTCATAGAAGTGAATGTAGAATGACAGTCATTCATTGAGAACTTCTCCAGAAGATTTCTTATAAAGAGAGATTGAGACAATATCAATGAAGTTGAATCTCTATCAATCTTCATTTCTAGATAGTGATTGAAATCCTCTACATTCTTGATCTTGTAATTAGCAGCAATTTCAGCTTTGGCTCAGTTCAGATCTTCAATTTTCAGACTGTAGAGACAGATATTATTCACATAGATAATCATATAAACCTGTCTTTCATCATGAATAAATAGTCTGACATCATAGAGACTGACACAGAAGCCTGAGTGCAATAGCATCTTTCACAGCTTCTCATATCATAAGAGTGCTGCTTACTTAAGACTGTAGAGTCTCTGCATCAACTCACACACAAGATCATCACAGTCTTTGCAGAATTCTGTGAATTGATTTATATATATTCATTCATCAGCAGACAGTTGAGTATTTAAAAAAGCAGTCATCATATCAATCTGCAGAACATATCATTCCTGGGATGCTGAGATTGTCATGAGAGCTTATGAGATGAATGCAGAGACAATGAGTGTAAAGGTTCTTAAGTAATTGACTTTCTTCTGTTGAAGATTTCTGCAGACAACTCAGTGAGTCTTATAGCAGATAACATCACTCATATTATTGAACTTTTTATCAAATACTCATTGACTGCGGAGGACACTCATTTATAATGTTCTCTCAATCAGTTATCAGGCCTCTATCTGTTTCAAACAGTTGATCTCTTTAACACAGGCCTTGTAATAATACTTTCATTCCATGAAAGTCTTGATATGTGTGAGGTTTTTCAGAATCAGAAGTGCAGTGATCTCAGAATTAGTGAGTAGGTCTTCAAGACTGTCTCTCACTGAAGCTTCTCTCACTGTAGTGATATCTCTTATAGATGTCAGAGAATCATTCAATTCAACTATAAGTTCTGAGAAGTTCAGTGTATTCTGCACTAAAAAGATAGGTATTCTCATGAAGATATCATAGTCAATTCACTAATTATTAGTGAGTATAAGAAATAATAAACACTCAGATTAGATTTTCTCATCAATGAATAGATCATCTATTGATGAATCAGAAATCACTGCAATCTCTTGATAGATCACAGTGAGTAGGCCTGATGTCACTGAAGAAATTGTCACAGCCGCTTTGCAGGCTGCATTGAGTAGAACCTTCAGGTTGTGTATTGTCTTCAGTATCAATGAATCAGCAAGATGAAGGTTCTCCTGAAAGATAATGTCTTTTGATATGTATAAATGCTTGTTGAAGAGGTTTATCAATCTATAATTGATAAAATCATTATATCTCACAAAAATCAACTCTTTGAAATGGGAAGTCATCTTATTGATGAGCTTGAAAACTATCTTCAAGAATGCTTTGCAACCTCATCAGTGAATGCCGTGTGCAGAAGATAGAGTTTCAAGCCAGGCCTTATACAGTGTAATCAGCTTTGTATTTTCAGAGCCTTCATACAATATTATTGAGATTAATATAAGATTAAGCAGCTCTGTGACTGCAATAACTGTCTCATTTCACATCTTTTTCAGAGCTAAAGAGTCTATTAATAGTGATCAGAACTTCTCAATGATTAAATTAATCAATTGTTCAGATACTTTATCTTGCTGTGAAGTATGAAGAGAAGTCAGCTCTCATTTTATATCTTCACTGAGTATATATACTGTGACTGCATTTGAATTCAATTCTTCACAATCTGAGTGAATGATTGCAATGTCATATCTTAGCAGATTTTTGATGAATTGATTGAAGATCTGTAGATATCTTAACATCTCATCCTTGCATTTCAATAGAAATATTCACCTTATACAGATAGCATTATCTGTTATCATCATTGCAAGCTTCTTGCCAGTATAAGATGATATATCATTCTCAGTTTCAAGAGTCTCATCATCACTGAATATATTCACTCAAATCTTCAAGGTCTTGCGGGTGACATGATGTGGTGTGAAATTCTTGTAGAAAGCATGTTTCTGTTTAGTCTTAACACATGTGACACAGAATGATAATTTCTTCAGGCTGATTATAATAATATCAAATCACAGGTCTCTGATCATTTTTAATATACTATTTTCACTAATATAATTAAGTCAACAATGTTACTCATCTATCAGAAGCTGTTTCAGAAGAACTGTAGATAATTGAGATGAAGATAAGATAATAAAGAAATCAGTATCTGAATTCTTAAAGTTGATTAACTGTTCAACCTTCTTGCAGCTGAAAGATCTCAAAGACTCAGCACTCAGATTGTAATCTGTTGAGATTGTCTTTAATTTCAGAACAGTCACATATGTCACTGCTTTATACATTGAGTCATTTATTATTTCATGAAATGTCAGTGAGCTGTTGAATAGAATGTAAATATTATTGTGAAACAGATTGATGTAGAAGATATCACTGTTAATAGATAATAGAAACTCAAAGTAGTTCTCAGTATTAACTTGCATATTACAGTGAATATAGCTCTGATGTTTCATAAGCTCAACAGAGATCAGATTTGTGAATAGTTCTGACATGTAGTATACATAATTGAATTCTATCAATCTTTTATTCACTGAGATAAATGCAGTACTGACACTCTGAATCTTCATAATAATCTTATTAATCACTTAAACTGTTGAATCATTGATTGCTATAAGTTCTGAAAATCATAATCTATCACTCACTATGTAGCATTCAGTGTCACTATTTCATATAGTGAGGGAATTCTTGTGAAGTTTCATAAAACAGGCTGATACATTAATAACCTCTGCAAGGTTTGTTATCTGATAGATGTCTGATTCATCTGTAATGAATAGTTGAGTTCTATTCTCACTATTGTTCTTTTTCTTCTTTTTCTTGAATTTCTTTATTCTCACAGCATTGTTTATTCTTCAATTATTCAGAGTACTGTCTGAATTGATCAATCAACAGATGTCAAAGTAAGATCTCTCACATTTAGAACAGGTAGATAAATTTCCTGATTCTCAATGATTTCAGAAGCTCTCTTGAATACTATTACAATCATGTTCAGTACGGTCTTCACAGGCTGAATTCAATGTATTGTTGTTAATAGTTGTTGTGACTGTTGTAGCTATTGTAGCTGTATTAATCACAGAATCTATATTCTGCAGATTCTTTTTATCTTTTGAAGAATCAAGCTGTGAACAGATTTTCTTCATAAGAAGATTAACATTCAATATCACAGCTGTGAATTTGAAATTCTGTATCTTCTCTATCTTCTTCTGAATGTAATTTCTTCAATTGTTGAGTAGAACTGAGTAGAAGGTATCAAATATTCATACATCTGAGAAGGAAGCATTTAACATCTTCAATTTCATGATGATAAACTGAAACTTTTTGAAGAATGTATATAGATTGATGACCTGTGTGTCATCAAGAGACATGAATTCCAGAACTATCTCACAGCATAACTGTGTTTTGAGGACAGAGTATTCCTGTTCAATTGCATTTCATAGAGTATAAGTGATCTGATTTTCATCATATTTGAAGAAATGTGATCTGACACCTGCACCCAAGAAGTTCGAGATGAATATATAGAGTCACTGATTTCTGATGTCTCAGAATGATGCTCATTCATCATCTCTTTATAGAGAGTTCTGAGTCTGTTGTTTCTCTATCATATATCAACACTGTGCATCAACCAGTTTCAACTTCATGAAGATGCTTCATGTGATGTAATTGAATGTGCCAGTTAGACTGTTTGATCTCACAGTATTCTTGACATCTTCCTTGAATTGGGAGATTGCCTTGCCAACACAGCTATCCAGTTCATAAAGGTTGAATTCCAACCTTTCACCGAGATTAGAATTCCATGTGGCTGTACAGGCTGTTGATGTGGTGGCAGAATGATTGTTGACATTCTGTGATCAATCTGTGGAGGATGAGAATCTCTGTTAATGAAGTTTTTCCAGTTGTAGTTCGAGTTCTAAGACTCTTTGCTTCCTCTTGTCCATCTCAAGCATCATCTTGAGATGCTCCATCTGTTGGTCTGATATTGCCTCGCCCGAACGGTAGACACCTGGGTGTTCATTATTCTCATCAAGAGAACCAGCTTCATCAAGCTGTCGAGTAGATCGGGGGGCCGGCCTGAGCGTGTCAGGAGCTGTATTCAAACCAGCTTCGAATCGAGAGGGTGTTTCGACAATGGAGCTTTCAAAGACTCCAGGAGAATGTCCACCAGTGGAACTTTCAAAGGCTCCAGGAGGATGTCCACTGGCAGAGCGTGAGTGTGAAGAATCATCATCATCAACTGCAACTGACTCAGTGGAAAGAACGCGAGATCGCGAACATGTATGAGGGCGGGATCATATTGAATCCGCCATCTTTGTATTCGTTTATTGAATCCTTGCCAATATCGTTCTCTTTTTCTTGCTTTTTTGCAAATGTGGTGCATTTTCTGCAAGCCTCTTTTTTAAGCAAGCAGTAGTATTATTGATCATCAAGATCTCAAACGCATCAATACTGATAGAATAAGATGATTTTAACTCCTGATGAGCGTATCGAATGAAGCAGTAGTTCAAATAATGAGTATATTGACAAGGAATCCCGAATTGGCAGTGATTTTGCACAAAATGAGTCTCATAATCTGTGAAAGGTGTAAAGCTTGTGTGATTGAAAGGTTGCTAGCTTTGTGGGAAGTTATATGATGGAAGGATTAGTAAGCCAGATCACGTGACCTGACACATTAATGTATAAAAGTAAATAAATAATCTTTATTAATCTCTGTTATATTTCTTGAAATATATTAATATTGTGAAAGAGAGTATTATTAAATTGCATTATTAGATAATATCATTAAAAATATATTAATATTGTAAATATCAATGTTGAAAAAATGTTAATACTTATACATTATAGTGATTTATGAATTATGATAGTTAAATATATATATATATATATATCATTCCTGACTTGATTACAACTTGTACAATAATTTTTGAAAACTTAAAATCAATTTTAATTATTAATAATTAAAAACTTAAACTTACAACTAACTAATATAAAAAGAAAAAAAAAAAATCTACTTCTTCTCTTTCTTATTCTTCTTATCATTCTTTACAATTTACTTTTCATTTTTCTTCTTCTTCTTCTTCTTCTTCTTCTTCTTCTTCTTCTTCTTCTTATCTGAGATGATAATCATCTCAAAATCTCTCTTCACTGTCTTCTCAGAGAAGGGTTTCTGCTGCTTCTTCTTAGCTAGATCAATCTGTGTCTCAAAATCCCACGTTTCCTGATCTGCTGCCTCAGATTTCATCTCAGTGATAAGCAGATTAACATGCTCAGAGAGTAGAGCTGTCTTCTCAATGTTCTGAATCATGAAGTGTATTCAAGACCTGAACAAGGCCTCAATTGTCTTCTTCTCTGTCAGCTTCTGCTAATTAATTAGAGAACAGAAGTATTACCAAAAATTATTATCTTTTAATAAATAAAAAACTTATCAGTTTTGACTTCTTTGTCTTCTACTTTAATATCTTCTCAATCTTCTTCTGTTACTGCTTATTTATAGTAACACTCTTCTTCTCTCTCTCTCTCTTCATTTTAAACTCAAATCATTCTCAGAACTTCTTCTGATCTCACTGCTACTGTATAAGACTCTTCACTGTCTTCTTCTTCAATCTCTCACAGATGATATTATCTGTATTATTTCTATACTTAGTTCAGTCTAAATCTATCAGAAGTGTTACTTAAAATTAGTATTATTCTACTCTTTTATAAAGCCTCTTTAAGACATTATAATATGTCTTATAATCTGTCTTCTCTTACTTGAATACCTTCTTCTTCTCTCTCTTCAATCTGTGACAGTGCTCACGCGCCTTGATGATCCGCAGAACCGCAGAATATTTGAAGAGAGATAATATAATTGATTTTAATAAGTATTAAAAAGAGATAAAGGCAGAAGAGATAATTAGAAATAATATAATAATAATAATAATAATAATAATAGTAATAATGATAATGATGATGATAATAGTAATAATATTAATAATGATAATAATGATGATAATGATAATAATAATAATAATGATGATGATGATAATAATGAAAGAGAGAGTGCATTGAAATATATTACTGACTTATCAAATATAAAGATATAAAGAAAATATTAACAGCTTTCAGAGATATATAGAAACAGCTATAGTATTGTATAGTAATATTATCTTCATTTAATATATACAGTGTTGATATTATTATTATTATTATTATTCTTTCATTATACTTATATGCAAGCAGAGCTTATGATGAGTTCTTGTGTGATGTTAAATACAGGTCAAGTGTTGATTATACAGGAGAAAATACAGGTGTTGAGACCACACCAAGATAACAAGAACATAGGAAATACAAAGAAGTGACAATTAGATACATGCGATAATAACTTCCCAGCTCAGAAACATAGAGCGATTTTATTGAAGTGATTTGTACACCTCTGTATTTATTAGAAACCTGAGGTGCTTGAGTTCCGGATTTAATGTATTCTCTGTGATTCGGAAGAACGTACAATTATCGGATAATAACACGGCCGCTTCTGAACTTCTAGCGTACGAATGCAAAGAGGGTCATAGCAGTCACTAATTAATTTAACATATGAGATTCAAAATATAAGAAGCTGATGTACATCTGTAATTGTACACTGACTTAAGCAACCTTTGAATCACATCTGATAGCATGTCTAAAAACTGATAAGAAGTGCAGACTTCTTCAGAGCATGATAATTTCATCTACAAAGTAATTTGTAGTTATCATGTCAGTGTGGTTCTAGAACATCTCAAAAGATAGTGTATAAAAAACAGTGAGTGAAAGAGTATTTAATTGATGCTGTTTTACTTGTTAAGGGAAAATTTCACATTCAGATAAATGCTATGTATATGAACAGATGAGATGTGAGAAAAGAGATGAGAGTAATGAATCAGATTCAAAGAAGATCACTCTTCACTTAAAGAAATAAAAGAGAGAAGTGATTATCACTGAAGTTATATGATAATAATAGAAATTATATAACAATATAGTAATACAGTGATATAGTAATATAATAATACAGTGATATAATAATAGACATTGTATAATTAATAAGAAATCACTGAAATAAATATCTTCTCTAATTAATATAAATAATACTCTTCTCTGCTATCTGAACTGAAAGATATACAGAACCTCTCAGAGAGTTTACTCAAAGCAGTAAGAAAAGTAGCTGAAACTACTGAACTGAAATCAAAGCTCTGTACATATATAAGAATTCTAAATGAGTGTAAGAAATCCCGCTCCTCGCGGATTCTTTACCTCTATTTCTATCTCTCGCGTAATCAATAGGGCTAGCGGCCCTTGGCTACACACAACTATATAGACTGAAGTTTGTGAATACTATTCATAACTCAGCTTGAATACTATTATACATTTAATCTCTACATTTTATCTTTCTACTGTGAACACTTCTAGTAGTTAATAGTACATATCATGTCAAGCTGTAAATACCTGAATAATCACCTGTGAGTACTTATTCTTACATTTCAAGCTCAGTCAGTCAGCAATCATCTGTTATGACTGAAAGAACTAGAAACTTACATACTTCAATCTCTGTAAACTCTACTGCAGGCACTCAGAAGCAGTTATCTGAATCATGAATAACTCTTATAAAAAAAGTCTCAGAGAACTTATCAATCACTTACAGAATATCATTCTCTACATCTATAACAGAGAAACTCTCTGAACTTATGAATAAATCAATCTCAGTGAAGAACATTCTTGAGCATCTTTTACAGAATCAAGCTATTTTTCTACAAGAAATGCTTACTGTCTGTAAACACTCTTAAACTGAGTCTCTAGACATAATCTTCAGAGACATTTATGAACTGAAAAGAAACTTTCTTAAGCTGCAATTACTTAAGATCACTTATTGAATCACAATCTATAAAAGCTTTTGTAAGTTTGTATTTGAAATTGACTCACAAGTCTGACTGTGTGATATGAAAGATGAAGAAGCTGTTATCTATATAATAACAGGCCTCTATTACACTGAAGTCAAGAACTGGCTGAATTATCTAGAGAATGATTATAAGAGATCTCACTGATCTGTTCTCAAGACCTATCTAGAGAATAAGTTAAGAGACTTTATAAGTCAGACAGAGAACATCTGAGCTGTAATTATCAATATTAGAAAAAGAGATGAGAAATCTGATAAAGACTACTTACAGTACTTCATGAAATTATAGTATAAATTGAGATCTGTGAAAACAGAGCTCTAAAACAAGACCTGAATAATGATGTTTATGAAGAGACTGAATAAAGACATGTAGAACAAGCTCATTGAATAAGACTCTAAGTTCTTAACTTTGAAGAAACTGATGACTCTTATTCATCACTTACAAATCACTGTGAGAGTTACAGATCTGTGAAGAGTGAATCATTAACTGACTCTGTAAGAGTCAGAACAATAGAGAACAGATTTATCAGAAAAAGATGATAAGATATAGAGAGATTTATGTCTGACTGCTGAGCAGAGAGAGAGAGCTTCACAAGCTTCTGTGAATAGAGTATATAATAGAGAGACTAAGAAAAAGAAACTCTGCTTTATCTGTTCTAAATCAGAACATCTTCACACAAACTGTCTGAACAAATTAAAATAGAAATTTGAGAAGTCATGAACAGAGTCAGTAATAGCCTTCTTAAGAATCTTGAAGCTGACATCTGAATCTGTTACTTCTCTGATGAAAATGCTTGCTTATAGAAAGAGATCACATCACAGTACTGCTGTCTTACAAGTATAAAAAGTATTGATGAACTCAGAATCTCAGGTCACTGTGATGTTTCTAAAGCTTACAGAGTGAATGAGTTAAAAGATGAAGACTGAGAACCTGCTCTTATAATAAGTAGAGTGTAAGAACTCAGATCTGAGAACTGAGAGACTTATAAGAGTCATCTTTAAATTGCAAGATCTCTCTGAAATCTGGAAGAGATTTGTAGAAACTGTGATTATCACAGACATTGCAGATAACATGTACTTGAGACTTATATAACTTTAAAGACACAATTCACACATAGCTGTCTGTAAGTCAGATTTATACTTTCAATCAGTGTTAACAGACTCACTCACAGAGATAGAATCAGTTGATACTGCAGAGTTAATTAGAGAAGACAAGCTCATCTATGTAATAACTTTACAAGTGTCTGAGAATCTTGTGATTATGAAAATCAAGCTTCAGATACTAGAGAAATACTGAGATCTCACAGAGATATTCAGCTCAGTAAAGGCAGCTGAGCTTCTCTCTTATCATGAGAAGAATCTGATAATAGATTTGATAGAAGAGCAGAAACCCTTCTGAGAATCAATCTATAAACTCTTTTATTATGAGACAGAGATCTTGTGAACCTATATAAAGAAGAATCTGAAGAATGACTTCATCTAATCTTCACAGACCTTCACAGAAGTCTCTGTGATATTTATAAAGAAGAAGAATGAAGATCTCAGATTGTGTGTAGACTATTACAATCTGAACTTCAAGATAACAAAGAGCTGCTACTTTCTGTCTCTGATTAAGAATGTAATCAACTGTCTCATGAGAGCTGTCATATTCATACAACTGAATGTGATCAATGTATATACACAGCTGTAAATACAGTCTGAGAATGAATGAAAGACTGTCTTTAGAACTGCACTGAGATTGTTTAAATATCTAGTGATATCTTTTGATCTGACTAATGTCTCTGCAGTATTTCAGTCTTTCATCAATAAAACACTTCACACATATCTGAATGTCTTCATAATAATATATCTGAATGATGTGATGATGTACTTTATGAAGAAGAAAGAACACACTGAGTATGTGTAAAGTGTGTTGAAGACCTTAGATGAGACAGAACTGTATATTAAGCTTACAAAGTACAACTTCAGTGTCTGCTGAATTAATTTCCTAGAATATGTAATCACTGCAGATGATATTCAGATGAAATCTTCACAGATTGAGACTATTCTATCATGACTGAAGCTAACTAGTATTTATGAGATTCAGATCTTTCTGAGCTTTATGAATTTCTATAGATGATTTATCTTTGTATTCATGAGAATCTTCTTAGCTCTTACAGACATGCTGAAGAGTGAAAACAAGAAGAAGTCATTTTATAAACAGAGAATGAAAAGATTGTTGAGAAGAGAGAACTGTGAGAACTTTCTTATTTCAGAAGCTTACAGAGTCTTTGCAAGATTGAAACAGATATTCATAGACACAGTAATACTGTTTCACTTTGATTTCTTACTCTTAATCAGATTAAAGACAGATGTCTTCTTCTTTATAATTTCAGAAATAGTCTCACAACTACAGTTAAATG